AGGTGATGGGGCATTGTGGAGAGATTGTTGAGGGTTGGAAAAGGGAAAATTAGCTTCATCAAATAGAACATGTCTTGAGAGAATGATTTTTTTATTAGGCAGAAGAATTTTAAATCCCTTGTAACCTGGACTATATCCAATGAATGTGCAAGGTAAGCTTTTTGGTTCAAGTTTATGGGAATTGTATGGTTTCATGAGAGGGAAGCAAAGGCAACCAAAGGATTTTAGTTGGTTATAGTCTGGTTTTATGTGATTAAGGGATTCAGAGGGAGACAGAAAGTTCAAGGCCTTTTTAGGAGTTCAATTAAGAAGGAAAACACTAGTTGAAAAGGCTTCATCCCAATACTCTAAAGGAATGTGTGATTGAGTAATGAGAGCTAAGGTTGTTTGCACAATAGATCTGTGTTTCCTTTCAGCTAGTCCATTTTGTTCTGGTGTATAAGGACATGAAAATCTGTGATTTATGCCTGCTAAGGAAAGAACTGATTTCAATGCCAAGAACTCACCTCCACCATCACTTTGAAAGGCTTTAATTTTGGTTTGAAATTGGTTTTCAACTAAAGACTTGAATTGACAAAAGGCTTCTTTGGTTTCAGATTTGTTTTTGAGTAAGTACATCCATGTGTACCTGGTTGCATTGTCAATGAAGCTCACATAATATTTATAACCCTTGTGAGATAAAACAGGTGATGGACCCCAAAGATCTGAGTGTATAAGATCAAGGGGCTTATAACCATGTGAATCAGATGAAGGAAATGGCAACTTATGGAACTTAGATTGCATACAGACAGAACACAAAAAAACTTCTCTTATTATCAAGAAATTGAATGCCACAATGTTTAAGAGTTGTTTTAACAACATCAAATGAAGGGTGTCCTAGTCTAGAATGCCAAGTTTCCAAACTTAAGGGCCTTCTTGATTCAGCTACATGGCAACTTGATGGGAATTGAGTGAAATGAGAAGGTGAGGTAGAATGAGGACTTTGCTTGAGGTAATGAGGGTGAGTCTTGGACTTCATGAGCTGAAATTTGTATAAGCCATTCTCAAGACTCCCTTCCAGTAGGATTTGCTTTGAGTTGAGATTCTTCACAAGACAGTAATTAGGATAGAACTCAAAATATACTCCATCGTCCTTAGAAAAGTGGGCAACACTAATGAGATTTTTGTTTAGGTGAGGTATGTGAAGAAGATTGTTTAAGTGCAGTGTATGTTTGGAACTATCAGTTGGACATTTTATTGAAGCTTTACCAAAATGAGCAATAGCCATACCTGACCCGTTTGCAATCTGAATTCTCTCTCCACCATGGTAATCAGTTGCTAGATTGAGATTTCCCAAGTCATATGTCAAGTGGTTGGTTGAGCCTGAATCTGGATACCAACTTGTATCCTGAGTTCCTTCAGAGAGACAATCACCATTGTTGGTGGTGAAGTTAGTAGAAAAGGAACCATTGCCACTGTTGTTGAAGCCTTGAGAGTTTCCATTGCCTGTGCTTAGTAAACTCAGAATCAAATATGTAATAGCACCTTTCTGCTGTATGGTTATTATACCCACAGATTTGACACCTAGGTCTGTTGCCTCCTGACCTGCCTCCTCTTCCTCTGAAATTGGCTTGCCTACCTTGTCCTCTTCCTCCTCTTGTGTTTTGGAACTGAAAAGGAGCTCTTCCACCTCTACCATAGCCAGATCCTCTACCTCTATTTCTACCTTGTGTGGCCATATTTGCAGCCAACTGAGGTCCATCTCCATTGATGGTAGTCTTTTCAAGAGAATCAATTCTGGCTTCAAAGCTTTGAATGATTGAGTAGGCTTCAACAAGAGAGCATGTATCAGCTTTGGAAGTGATGGAAACAACCACTGAGTTGTATTCTGCACCAAGGCCAGCTAGAAGATAAAGAATCTGATCACTCTCACTGTCTGTGCCCAGCCATGCCAAGCAAATCACATATTCCTTTCATTTTGTTGAAATACTCTCTCACCTTCATGCTGCCTTTCTTTAGGGTTTGAAGTTCCATCCTCAGCTGCATCAGTTTGGCTTGACTATGACTTGCAAAACTTGTTTTTAAACAGATCCAAATCTCCTTTGAAGAGCTGAGTCCAACAGTGGTGATGAGGGTGTTTTTAGAGAGGGAGGAGAGCAACCAGCTAGCTATGAGCTGATCTTGTCTTACCCAGTTAGAGAAGCTTGGATTCAGAATCACAGTGGTCTCTCCTTCAGAGGTGGTTCTTGTGATGAACTTCTCTGGTGGTGGAATGTCTCCAGTGATGTAACCTTCAAGGCCATAGCCTCTAAGAGCTGTGATGACTTGTTGCTTCCAGATCAGGTAATTCCCTTCATTGAGCTTGACTGAAACGAGTTGGCTTTGCAATTGAATAACAGATTGTTTATTGTGTTTTTGTGCTTATTTTCATGTATTTTGTGTGCTTTATTTTATAGTTTTTAGGCTCGTTTTAGTGTCGATCGGTCCATTTTATCGTGTTTTGTGTATTTTTGTTATTATATAGTGTTTTCGTATTTTTGCGCGTTTTCTCTTTTGTTTTGGTGTTTTGTAGGCCTGGAAGGAAGAAAGTCATTTGTGATGTACCGTCCGAGTCGTCCGAGCCATTGTCGAGTCATTACCGTGCAAGAGATCCGAAAGCCCAGTCCGCCTAGCGAACGAGTTCGCCGCATAGCGAGTGTGCTCAAGACTCATAGGACCAATCCGCTTAGCGAACGAGTTCACCGCCTAGCGAGTGTGCACAAGACTACAAGACCAGTTCGCCTAGCGAACTAGT